TACGCTAACAAATAATGTGTGTAGCTCTCTTGTTGAACACCTATTGTAAATGACACAATTCATTTTTATTACCATCTGCAAATTCTTCAGTAAAAGTTTGCCATTTGCGATCTATGTGTTTCGTGATTTAATGTAAACCGCCTGTAGAATGTCGGTCGAATCGATTTGTTTTAATTATATTGTCCATGTTCGTCTATTTACTTTCATTGTTAGTTATTGTTGGCATTATGGTGGCGATTTTGACTCGAGTCCAATTGTTCGCAAAATGTTTTGTTTATGACACATGCAAACTTAAAAAAATGTTTTAAGTTTTGTCACTACAATAATCTTTGTGTAAATGATTATAATAACTGTTGATGTTTTATTATGGTTTATCTTTGTCATCGATGCATTTGCGACACTAATCTCCAATACTTTTACGGAATATTCGATCTCCATTAAATCCAACTTGGCGTCAACCGATAAAGCGTCCATTTTATTTTATTTTGTCTGTCGGTTGCGAAACTCCATTTATACATTACTCAGGCTCTTAATCCAGCTCTCAGTGATATTCCGATTATCTGCAATTTTGTACTTCTCAGAATCGTCTCCAAATATAGTTGTTGTGTAAGCCAGTATTTAACCAGTCTTGAGGCTTTTTAGTTCAGTTTCACCTGCATTCATAAAACTACTTACTTTTATCCGGCCCTGGGTCTTTGGTCTTCGTTATTCAATTAATGCGAAGTGCCAGACACTTCACCATTGCAATTCATTTTTCCTTTACAAAATAAAACGTGGAAGTGCGCTAAATGAAAATGTATGCATCGTCATAAATTAAAATAGCGCTTTGACCGAGACTTCATTAACGAGAATTCCTGTTTGCAATAGAATTTAAATTCATTACAGTACGTTATTGGCTAGATTTTTTGAATGAAGCTGTATTTTGATTTATTAATAGATGACTCTAATAACTAACTACTATCGTGCGACATATCAAATTAATTAAAAAGAGTGCGCGGTCGGTGCGATGTCGCCCACTGCTCATGAGGAAGAGTGCCTCTGTGGCTAGAAACTTGTAGAACCTCTGCTAAGTCAATGAAAATATGTTAATATGTAATCGTGGTACGTAAATAATCACTATAACAAACATACGCATTATCACCGTTCGAGGAGTTCCAATAACCGTCCACAGACAACATTCCGTACATGCAAACAATAGCCAAAGCCATTTGTTTGACTTTCTAGCATTTAAGCTGCTTTTATATTAACATAAACAAGTCGATTGCGTGCTAGAAATATTGTAGGTACTTGATGCTAAGTACTTATTTGAATAAATAAAAGCGTCGCCGTTATTTATGAGTGCGGAAGATATTTATGGCAAAATTTTTGCAGTTATCCTGAGTTAGATTTTACAGGTAAACGTGTTAGAATTTCACTGTTCCAAAAGTTACTCAATAACCGTTACATAATATTTTCACAATTAGAATGAGTTCTGAATTTTGATTCGAAAATTGTCAATGTGGAAGTCATTTATATTCATAAAAGGTGTCGATACGTTCATAAATCTTGAGCAGACGCCAGTAGAGACAGTGGTTAATAAGGCAGTTAGAGTGATCGATCTATAGCCACGTTAATATTCGCTGGAAGTAGAGAAAGCGCATTCTTTTCAACACCTTGCCCCGTGATCGGAAGGTCTGTACTTGTAAAGCGTGTTGGAATCGCTTTATGGTCTTTATAGATTGACAATTCATGTTAAGTTGGACCCAGTGCAGTTCCTTGTGGAACTCCATAATTGATTGATCTTGTAATCTACTCTAAGGTGGATTTCACCAACTATTTATGTAACAATCTAGCCAATAAATTAAGCTTTGAATTATGACTAAAAAATCTAGAAATGTATTCATGAGAATAGATAAAGCCGGTTGTAATCTTGGACATTGAAATATGGTTAGATTGCGTCACACGCGATCGATCGCTTCCATTTAAATGAGCACTAATAAATCGTGATTCACAATTAGCATCTGGTATCACATATTACGTTAATATTATGTAATTTGCAATCTATTGAGATGAATAAAATACATATAAGTGTTATCTAGTTGCTTGGAAATCTGATGCCGGAGCGTCGACCTCTTACTGCATAGGACTCAGATTGTACTTCATATCCAATGTATGAATGAGTTAATCGAGATCTAGGTAGGTATATTATGAGTAGTAGATGTACTACATAACGAGTTCTATGTGAGAAAATGACACATTCGTCGTAGAATTCTTGACGGTTATTTAGTTTTGCATTCGACATCAACAGCGACCGTTTGAATTATATCAATCGCATTTCCTAAAATAACTTTCTCAATGTCAATTCTATCATCGCAAAGTTTATTATAGGAAGTATTTTGTTTCCGACATTGAAATAATAGATATCATCTTTCCCATTCTATTCAATTGTAAATAAAAATCTATAAACAGCTAGTTGATTAACAGTTTCAATATCACGTTCATTAACAGTTTTTTAATTAATATTTTATAACGACTTAGTTTTTTAATTAATATTTTTATAACGGCTTTAACAACCAACTGTTATTTTTTCCTTATTTATACATTTATCAGTGACCATAGTCCTTTATTGACACTCGTTCCTTGTAACGTCAGTATTACCCACTTTAAGTGCAGTACCATTCCTAAATCGGTTAGTTGGCGTCCGCTAGCGTACCCCGTCTACATACAAATCAACTATACATTTACATACAGTCATACATACATGTAACTATACTACGGCATGTTTCAATTGAATTACTCCAAGTAAATTGACACTGGGCTCGGTCCGAGCTTCGCTGTTTGGACTATGGGTGTGGTTTGTGTAGCCATAACAATTACTATGATTATAAGGGCCTAATCTGACATGCTATGGAGGGAAATTAACGGCTATTTTGTCGGTTCGGTGGTTTCTACTCGAATAGGACCTTCTGCCCGATGTAGTACATTAACAATGCAGGCGATACGAATAACTTCATCTTCTGAATTAGCCAAATATTAAATCTGCCAAGTTTCATTTTCGATGACTAATTAGAAACTTTAACATGCTTTGAAATCCGGGGCTACAGCAGATTCCTCTATGTATATGACCATAATATAAGAATACCTGAGCAAACTAAACAAAGAAGGTATATATTATTGAAACAAACTAGGGACAATACAGCCCTACATTCTCAACAACAACAATTTTATTGTACTCCAAAAACATAAAAAAACAACACCAATAAAACAAACTTAACCAAGTTCTCCAACACCCAACAATTCAGAGACAACTTTAACATTAAAAATGCTATTGTAAATCTTGGAGAGAAATAACAAAAGGACAATAAACGTGACGATTTCAAATAAAAGCAATCGGACGGCCCGTTGCAGTGTAAGCTGAAACAAAAAGCTGCCCTACCCGGTCCCCTATCTATTTGCATATGGGGGGACACGGTGCATGTCCTGTGCCGAACAACGTGGATTATCGGATAAGTGACGACCATCTATAGGGTAATTGTGTTTTAAATGTCGGGGAATTTTATGGGGAACTGCAGTCTCCTTTATGATAACCTATACATAGATATGTATACACATTGAAGCGTTTGAAATTGTAACACAAGTAACCCTACTTGTGTTACAATTTCAAACGGTTCTTATGTCTTATTATTGACACGAAAGGGTGAATCATAAACGCATTATTTTATATCATTATTGTCTTCGTTATTTAATATTTTTAATACTTTATACTTTCATTGGCATGTTTTGATTTATGTTTGATTTCGAAGGTTATTATTTTTATTATGTGGAATGATATTGTTCATTTGATTCATTGAATGAAGTTCAGGTACAAAAATTGGCATGTTATGAAATTTTGTGCATCGTAAACACATAATTTATGATCAACCAACGAGGTAAATCGATCATTTTAATATCGAATATGCACAGATTGCAAGATATGACTTCTAGCTAACGATAAAGTGGCATATCATTGTACAATTGATGCACGTCACTCACCACTTATTCCACATCTCATGTTTTAAACATTGACTAGGTATCTGCTAATTAAAACAGTGCGTGCCATGCAATTAAGATGAGTTTGGTTAGCGTATAATGCGCATATCTCTCGTTGTCTCCTTTCTTCGTATATAACTTATTTTGATCCCTCACATCTATTTTGAAAATTTTATTTTCATAACACTCATTATTATCTCGATTGTAATCACCTCTATTAAAACCTACTTCTCTCTCACCATCGTCCTTGGGTGTTACAACTAGCGTGGGACGATCTACAGCTGATACGGTCTGCGTATTTTTCATTGCCAAATCTGTATGGAAATCAAAACCATATCTCGTGTAGACGTAATCTATGACAGGTTCGTAAATTTTGTATGAGTTGATAAATCTGGTGTTTTAAAGGCACTCGATAGGATTTTTGTGTTAGTTTACCGTGAAGTCGCATTGTTTCCTTGCACCAGCGAGCACGTCGTACGTAATCTTTATTACATTTAATTAATTAATTTGTTTTATCTATTAGTTACACGTAATTTTGATAAGGGGTTGTTCTAAGTCTCGTTCCGCCTTCGTTGTTATCGAGCTTGAGTTGAGATAATTTCCTGTAGAGATACGCACATCTGTCGACTGCACTGATGCGCGGGAGCATTCAATTTTTTTTTTTGTTCGCGCACTCGATACTCGTAGTCTAAAAACGTGTCGAGTGATTTCCGTTACGCAGTCAAACCTTTATTAGGGAGTGATAACTTTGTTTATTTTTAATAGAGAACTGTGGCTCATTCTTGAATTTTTACTCATTTGTAGTATGTGAATCGACAAGACGTCAAAGCATCATCTAGTACAGTGCACTAATTTAATTCCAATTACAACAGCTATGTTCCAATACAAAGTGATACAAACGACATGAAACCGAACTTATTCGATCAGTGAAACGAAAACGAAAAATGATATAAATAATTCAAGATGATGAAGTTCAAATCATTGTTCCGTAGAGGGCCAAGTCAGGGGAAGCAGGAGTCCACGTTAAAAGGGGCTCCGTCAGTGTCGAGTCTCGATTCAAAGCACCACAAAGTCGCACCAGCTCGCGACAAGACATTGAAGATCTTTGGGTCAAAAGAGAAATTGCATAAAGCGCACAAGAAGAAGGATTTAGGGAATAATAATGCTGTGTTAGAAGACCCTGAGTTAAGAGAAGGTTTGGAGTATGAAGATGGACAAGTCGGGGTGCATGATTACGGTAGCGCTGAGGAGCTGGGGTCGGTAGGCGGGCGAGGCTCGCAGGAGTGCGTCAGTCTGCCCGTCACTCTGAATGCCGATCACATGCCCGGCTTCCAGGAAGTGGAGCTCAGGCCTAGAGTACCATCTGAGGTCAGTAACTGTACTTTTACAACTAACCTTTTTGCAACTATCAATATTAATTCAAATGTGTACAAGGAAGTATGACCGACGGTAGCCAGGTCGGACCGTGTCAAAAGTCAGTAGCGCACTGATTATATTCTTATAAAAATGATTGAGACCGTTTCAATTGACATACTTTCTTTTTGATAACCAAAAATAAGTAAATGTTTATCAGACTTTTACAATTACATAAATATTTATAAAGTTCTATGGTTTTAATTACTTGCTTGTACACTTTATACTTATTGGATTTTTACGACTTTCGTTCTGTTAATAAATCTGAAGACCTTGAAATATGACGAGTTTTGATTGAAATGACATTAATATTATAGACCGTGAAGTATTGAATTATAGTAATGTTATATTTGACAAAGAGTCAGTATTTTAATAAATCTAATTATAATTGCT